ACACTTGTGTCGGGTTGCACATTTGACTTTATCTTAGAATATATATTATTTCTTCATCTCTCATCTCGTCCGTATTTCTCTGCTGCTAAAAACCATAAGAGCAGGTCTGCCACTGGCAGTTTTTGTGTTACAGCTACCCTGCCAGTCTTCTGCTCGAGCTTTTTACCTTCGCAGTTGCTGGTGTCAAGATATTATCAATGGCTATCGTACACAAATTTGATCGTTTCCTTACGATGGCCGTCGTTAAAGTTATATATATATCAATATGAACGTTTTCGCTTTCTGAACAAGCACCTCGACGTGGATCTGCTAAGGTCAACCTTCCCTCCTCACTGCGCTGCTGCGATGAAGTATACTAACGTGCTTTCCGAGAATGGCTTCGCAGGCCTGGCTGAAAACTCTGCCAGCAAGTTGAACTGAAGTTTGTGCTCAAGTGTAGTTTCCAAGCAGGATATTTTCTCAGGGGCGTAAAGGAAGCAATTCCAGGAGGCAGAGTAAGCACGAGTCCACGGAGATTCCCGGCGTATAGCAGTAAAATCCAATAGTCGTACGTGAAAAGAAAGTAGGGCAAACCAGAATTCGCATTCAGTGGAAGTGTTTTTAGGGAATTCGCTACTGCCTCTTAGACAAAACCAAACAGCTGAGACTTCCCAGCTTTTCCTCTCGATTCGCATGTAGTGAGTTGTGGCTCAGTGCGTGACAATAATTTGTCAAGTCATTGTTCAGTTACGAGAGATGCCAGCTTCAGATACTCACTTTTGTGAGCGTTACAGAAATCCCCGATTAATTCCCGAAGCATCAAAAACCTGCTGCAAAAATGGACATAAATAAGCCAAACTGGGAGGATAACTCTAGCGTCAAAGAATAGACTGATAATATCAGGGAGGGAAGAGGGGGGGGGGGGGGGGGGGAGGTCGGTTTTGCGCCCCTGAATAATAAGTTAGCCAAGATTGTGATATTTGCATACAGCGCTTGCACTGTTTGATTCTTTTGAGCAATCTTCACCGTACCAACTGACCTGTATGCCGACCTCCCGCATGGCAATACCTGCTTCTCGATAACGCTCCTTGTCTCTTTTTTTCCCCCACGGCTTTGGTTGGGACAAATTAGGTTAAACCAGCAGCTCTACTTCAGCGTTTTAGGGATGGGGCACCTGGCTCCATCTCGGACCTCACAGCTTGGCGATAGTTTACTGGCTGCGCGTTCGCGTTTCTCCTCACGGTGACTGCGAGGACTCGCCGAGGATTCAATGCAATTCCTCTCCGAGGACGAGAAATGCTCCAAATCTAGTTTTTGCGTTTACGTTCCTGCAGAGCACAGAGACATCCAATCGCAGCAATCAATATGAAGATTGCGGCGAGCGACGAAACTCGTAATATACGATGACGCTGAAACTATGCGATGTTTGCGCGCAGGGGACAATGATCAGGACGTTTCACTTGCGCACTGTCCCTGCGCCGCATGATTCAGACCTAATCGTGGTTCGTTTTTTAATCCGGTGAGATCCTTCGATTTTTCGCCGTGTTGAATGTATTTGTGTTCTACGTTTCAGTGAACTCCCAGACTTTTTCTACGGTGTAACCGCATTCTTTCTTGAAGGTGTGCGTCTTTATCAGTCACATTCAGACGGTGCATCGTTTTCGTGAAACTGACGTCTCGAAAACAGACGCGTAAAAAGATATAAACAAAATCATGTTAATGAGCTCTAACTTTTCACGGCCGGAAGAGTCGATGGAACCAGGTTATTTTAGGAATACCTTTAACTATACCGGTGCCGTTGAGGTCATTTTTCCGTTTCGCGTTACTTTGCGGTTGTATGCGTGCCACCCGAACCTGAATGGTGCAGTTTTGTTGGCGAGTTTTCATCATCCTAATGGACATGTTATTCTGAAATACGGCTATTTGTTCCACATATGGCATTAGGAATCACTGTCAATACTAAATTGATGTGTCGAGGTTTTCTTCTTGTGAGTCGGGCAGGCGGGAAACGACTCGTGCGTATTTCTGTAGTGGAGAGCCCAGGTAAGAGGGAGCAACTCAAAGAATAGACAGTTTGCAGTTTTATGGTTGCCCCCCCCCCTTTTTCCCGTGCAGATTGAACGGAAGTGCGCCTGCCCGAGTTAGGCTTGGGGCGAGGGGTGTGGGCGAAGAGGTAGAGCAAATCTCAGTGGCGCATGCAGACGATCGACGCTTTCGGCTTGAGCTCGCAGCTCGTCATGCAAACACGGACCATAAACCACGTGACCAGTCTCGAGCAGTTGAAGACACACCCATCAGGCGTGGTGGAGAACGTTAATGACGACGGGCAGTACGGATACAAATAATACTATTTACGGTTAATTGGAGCTGTATTTATACTGGCTTTAGGGGAGAGGGGGTCAGAAGGAACAGCGAAGTGAATTTGGGGTTTGAATTTGACAGCTATTTAATCGTGGTATCCTCTTAGAGATGCAAATGAAACTATGCAGTCGGGAGGAACTTCATAGTGTCTGCAGACAAAAAAATAGAGTAAAATGTACAACACTTGCGAAGACTCCCCGAAACAAGAAAAAAGTAGGGATATTTACTGTGAGTTTAATAAAACGCAGGGTATTGCTTATTCTGTTCAAGTTCCTTGCTTCGTGAATCACTGGCTCAGTGGCTGCGGATCGGTAGTAAAGGAGTTAGGATCCGTTACGCCCGGGGTCTCTTAAGCTCAGTGTGACTAAGAATAGTTGTGCAGCGGTTGACAGAGGTAGCTGTTGCGTCGTGAAAAGGTATGTTTTCAAACTTTTTTTTTATTGGATTGGTTTTTAAGTTTTTGCTTTATACCGATATGAAGATGTACTAAAATTACATGGGAGTCAGGCATTTCAGAAACCGCAATCGGTCATCCACGTAGCACGATTACTCCAGGAGTTCTGAGGGAATGGCTTTTAAATTTCGCCTCTCGCCGCAGCGAAGGGAACAGCGCGGTGCAGGCCCTGCCACCACCACCATTTGTGCTCCCGCGGCACGTGGTCTTCGGCCCACCGTTGACGCTTTCCTTCTTGCTTCTTCCTCGTGAACATGGGAATGTGGGGTGTCTTGACCCCTTTGACTCCTAAAAGTCGCCACTTGTGAGCGATAGTCCGGGTCCTTTGCCCTTTTCTGTTTTCGTACCGCGTGGCGCGCTTGCCATTCCCGCTCCTAGGGCCGAGATGAAATCTTGCGTGGTCAGGCCACGTCTTGTAGGGGAGGGAGGTGATCTGGGCCTCTCAACTCGTAAAACACAAAATTTGGGAAAGAAGTTGCCGGAGCGCACCAATTGGCTTATCACGAAGATGACTTAGCGTTTTTAGCGCCGACATCCAATCGGCGCGCTCCACGAACTTTCGGCTCCAACTTTGGGTTCGACGAGTTTAGGGTCCCTGATCGAGCGCCGCACGGGTCATTCGAGCCTATTTTCGAAACGCGGAAAGGGTGGGGGGTGGCGGGAAAGAACAATGGGAAAAGGAGTCATAGCGAGACTGAGCAATTACTCTCTCCCCGCGGTCAGGTGGGTTTTTACGTACGAATGACGCCGTGTTCTACCGGAAAAAAACACCAACAAGTGCAGCTATAAAAAATAAGAAAAATTTTAGCCGCAATCTTGCAGAACGCACTAACACGAGCCCCCAGATTTGCTGAGTAACACAGGATCATGGGGTCAATCCCCACCCCTGCACGTTTCGATCAGGATGAGCATCGTACCGGCGTGCGGTCGTGTATCACTACTGCGTGGTGCACGTTAAAGACCCCAGGCTAGCGGTTGTACTCCACTGGCTAATTTTCTCATCTAGAGCTGGGAGACTCATCGCCCGTTGAGGCAGACCAAGTTCTAGCCTGTATAAATATGCACAGAACTCAATTTTTCAGATTTGCTAAGCGTTTTTGCCGCATGCAAAGCCACACTGAAAACAACTGCTGCTACGCACTTTACCATCTGATAATGTTATAAATATTTTGTTTAGAACGTCCTAACAGTCGAGGCGTTCTTCTAGAATCGTTCGGCAACTAATAAAGAGGACAATGCAATGATCGTGTTCCTTTCTGTATATATAAGTAAAATAAAGAGTGACCAAGGAGAAAATAAAAGTGGCCGCTGGCTGTATACCCCTTATAACCCAACTTCATATCATACAAAGCTATGGCGCCTGGACCTCAACCCAAAATGGAGTCCCACATGCCGCGTTCTAAAAAGGCATTCATCGATTTCTGCCTGATAAACTCGCAGAAGTATCATGCTGTCGCCCGCCGCGATTCTGGCGGGTCACAACAGTGCTGGTAGATGTGGCAGGCACCTGTTCTGTGTAATCGTTGAGCTTGACAGTACAAGGTACCTTCAGCAGTCAAGAGTTGTGACTGTGCGATGACAGTGAAACTCGCGCTCGCTTGTACTTTTTCCCGTGACTTCAAGCACCAACCACCAAGATCGCGACATCCGACAACACGATACTCCTGCTTCCGTGACGTCATTTGTGGCTACTGTGGTACCGCTTTTGATGTATGGGCCGTATAGGAGCCTAAATTCTAGGACTCGTTTCAGGAACCGTAACAACACTAAGCGGACTTGAATATTTAATTTAGTAGTGCTTTTTACAACAGAGTATGTTTATAAGCCGAATGCCATTAGAAAACAAACACGAATAACCGTCATGATAAATTTCCCGCTAACTATAGTAGGGAAATGGAAGCTACATGGCACATCACGTGACCAAGTCACATAATGTCGTGCGACCTTAAGTTATGTGGCGTCGAATTCCCGCTAAACGTAGCGGGAAAAAGTGATGTGATTTGGCCACGTCATGTTACCTCAAATAACGCGGCGTTAATTTGTGTCAGGTGGTTCTGCATGGTGGTAGTTCACGCTCAATACATTCTCTTTTCCCCCGTAGACTCTATAATCATAACCAAACTTCTATTATTGTTCTTTTTCCTTCCGAAATACCGATTTCAGGGAAAACTTCCGTCATTCTTTTGTTTTTTCTTCTCTCCAACAGGTTGCTGAAAATTCAAGCACCTGCCTTCCGGCCAAGTGGAACGTGACAGCCGAGGATTTTTATGAAATCCGAATCAGTTGGTCGACTCCAGCCTTCGAGATTGGCGAGTATGAACTGTGTGCGTGCTACCCCATCGCAGTGAACGAAACGGAGCCCAATGTGACGTGTAGCGGTGCCGAAACACTCTATGAAAATGCGTCGTGTCTGATACTGAACACGAGTTCGGAAACGCGAGACGTCGTCTTCAATCGGACAGCTGAGGTTGGGTCGGTCTGCCTCTTCTCAGAGTGCGGGGAGAGCTCCTGCAAGGACGTAAACGGTAAGAAAGTTCTCGATTCCTGAAGGGTTATTAAAAATAAAGTTAAACTCAGAAGTAAGAAAAAAAAAAGATGTAAGAAATTAAAACACAACATTTCAGAATCTACTAACATCAACAAAGTGGTGCTTATAGGCCACTTGGTTCGCCATGTACAAGACGACAACGTCGAATAAACACATAGATGAAGATAGACCGAAATAGTATCTCGTTTCCTTTTTTTTCGTGTTTAACTTCGTTTTTCTGTTTATTTCGCGTTGTTTTCGTGTACGTACTTATAAACTTTTCCGGTATTCTAACTTTGTGTGTTGATTTTTTTTTCTATACAATTCGGGATTTTTCAATCATGTTTAGCGTACACCTACTGGCTTTTCTATTTTTGTTGTGTATGTGACCGCATGAGTTATCTTATTTGCTACTGTTTTTCTTTATGGGTGTGGTTTGGTAACGGTGCTATCCTGCCGGGAAAGACCCTCTAAGTTGCATAGAAAATCCGTTCGCGAAAAGTATTCCTCGTTGACTCAACGTTAAGCTAATACGAGAGAGTCATGTGACAATCGTTGTTTGCAGTCTGCGTAGTATAAGCGCATTATGTGTGCTTCGCTTTAAAACAGAGAACAGCATGAGAAGCAAAAATGAAAGGTTTCCAGTTGACATCTAATAAACATGGCCCAGAAAACATTCCTTCAAGCGGTTTCAAAATCATTGCGTTTGCATCAAAAATTTCAATTTCGACAAATCACTTTTCATGTCACAGCTTTAGGTCCCGAATTGCTGAGTGCATTTCCGAGATTTCGGCGTGGCCGTCTTATACTTCTTTCAAATTCATTAATATCCAGGTATTTTTATTTCGTTACCACTGACTCATATGTAGCACAACAACAATACTATGCGGTTGCCTTTATGCGTGTGAGGCGTATAAACGGTTTTTAATAAACAAGGATGAGCATCGACAGGTATCTCAATTGACGGCAATTGCAGGTTAGGGCAATCTATTTCGCTTCCCATGCATCTGTTTATATTCGCCTACATTCGTTTTCTCATTTACTGCTTATTTGAAGATATTGTTTTAAGTATATGTAAGAAGGTATTGTTTCTTTGTAACATAACGTTGTCAATGAACTGTATATTTATTCTGATGGCATGGACACAGAATATCAAAAACTTTTGCAAAATGATTGATAAGATTAAAAGCACACTGAATAAAACCATCGCAATTGTTAAGTTACTAATGCCAATAAGTATATGAAACCCCGCAACTTTCAGTATATTATAATATAAAATAGTCCGTAGGCTGTGGTTTTATTTTTTAAAGACAAATGGTAACTCGATAAGTTGAAAAAAAAGTTTGATTTTTTTTTTCAGTTAGGTACTATAACAATACCCTTGTCACATCTAGGGCATATTTGATCAAGCTCTTAATTGACGTAGTTTAATTGACGGATGTCACTGTTATTAATTTGTTTTGTATGTACTGATGCTGTAACAAATTTACTCATTAATTTCTAAATTTTGAGGATAATGCTTTCTATTTGAGAAAATTAAGTTCTACCAGACGCCCGTTTCACAATTGCCCGGTACGTAAAAAAAAGGACGCTGAGGAATTTCGTGACCTCACATTCAGCTAGATGAATACACATGGTCAGGTAAACAGTTATTTTGAGATGATACAAAAATATATAGCTAATTACCGCAATTATAGCTACGGATACGCGTCAAGCATTGGTTCTCGTAATGTCGACGAACCCTGTCCTCGTTTCTCAATGTGAAAAAAAAAACAAAAAAAAACAATATATTTGATTCATTATTTTCCCGTGATTTACAGTACCCTCTCTTAAACTAAACGGGGGTCGTATTGAAAAAAAAAAAAAAGCTCTTGAAGCATATTGCAGCGTCTTGTTTATGTTTGCTAACATCGGGCACTAAGAAAATATTTTGGTATTTGAATGGTATACATTTTTCCACATTAGGTTCGACCACAGCCAACGCTACAATCTGTTGAATCTAAACAAGCAGCTCGAAAAGTGCATCGTCACGCCGCTCGTCGTTTCTGTGCGTTTTCGCATTTTTTTTGTGCGTGATTGCTTTACCGGGTTATGTCAAAGGCACGAAGACGACGTGCGCCTCGACGGTGGAGTTTTGTAGCTGTTTGATTAGCTCAACGGCTCCTTAGTGTTGTTGACTACGGTGGGAAATTAATATGAAACAAACTACATCAGCGTCTGCTGTGTTCCATGGGCGCCGCCATATTTGTTTATGTTGACGCGATTACACCGCAAGGGGGCTGCGCTTTTCGCTAGACTCCGTTTCTTTTTATTTTTAGATCCTTCGCACATGTCGTAGTGCAAGTACGTCAGAAATGCATAGTTACGAAGCTCCCAGAAAAACAGTGATGCTAAGAGTACTGCAAAGAGCAAACAAAAATCTTGTTTTTATGCGCATTCCCTCTCCACAAGAGCGTGCGTTTGAGATTATTATTTCCCATTTCTTTCCGCTGGGGGATTAGGATTTCGGACACCGGTGTATATTCCACCGGCCATTTCTAACGGGAACCCTTGTTCTTGATTCTATGAAGTTATTTCGAATTAATCGGGTTGCCCAATATTTAGCTATTACCCAAGCATTTTAGACCAAAAACTACTTTTTTGTTTTTGTCCATTCAAGCATTGTGTATATAAAATGGAAAGTGGTGCGTTTTGAACCAGCTGCTAAACCTTCTGAAAATATATCGCGACGTAATGTTTTCGTTTCTGTTTCTATTTTAGAAAGTTTGTTTCACATAGTGTGCAAACGAACTCAAAGCTACAAGTTCTAGCAGATTTCCCTAAACAATCCTTGCAATGCACGATCACACGTGATCGACAAGGATTGTAAAAGCACGGAGCTCGCAATTGTAGTATCTATAAAGCGCGCACTGAAAGTGAAAAGGACTGTTGCGACAAAAAGTGGCATAATTTTGCTGTGATTTTTACTCCTTTTCCGCAACAGGTAGTGCAGAATCTAGACCTGCGGTCTCTGTGACTGATCTCCAATTGGTGTCTGCCAACAAAACTAGCCTTTCAGTGTCATGGAGGACCGGGAATACCAGCAAAAGCCTTCTGGTGTACTTTCGATTGGTGTGGTGCGTCACCGACGAGTCCTGCTCGGAAGACGTCGAGAGCGTCCGAAACTGCTCTGGCGAAAAAGTAGACGACACTGTGGAAAACGAGAATCACGTGTTCTCGAATTTGACGGCGGCCACAAGCATGGTCATAGAGGTGTTTGCTGTAGACGGAAACGATAAAAATGCAAGACCCCTCGGGTTCAGCTCAACGAAATGCTTCAAGACACCAGACCCAGGTAAAAAAAAAAAAAGTTGGTTTTATTTTCTGGTGTTGTGGTTCAGTGTGAGATAGCGTTAGACCGTAGTCTCCTATATACTGAAAAACCCTGGCAGATCGCGACGAGAAGCGGCCGCCGAAATGCAGACGGTGGAGCGGCAGAAAACGGATGAGAGGAAAGCCACGTGGCTGGCGCCCCGCTGCGGCGAGACTTCCGAAACACGATTGTCCCGAGTGAACAAGTGTGTTTCGGGTCCTCGCCGCTGCAAAAGTTGTGCGCTAACGTCCAGGCTCCCCCAGAGTCGTATATGTAGAGTTTGGCCATTCGTTGGGAAGTATAGGAGACAAATGAGGAGGCACCATTGGCCGAAAGCGGGCTGGGCGTGTTCCAGGGCGTCCTCAGAAATTCGAATCGGACCAACCAGAAGCCGGAAATAATATCCTGGTGGTGGTCGCGAGAAACAAACCTGATAAGTGCATCGGAGTAACTCTTGGTGACTGAAAATATGGTACACGTGATGTTTCTATCATGGTCATCCAAAATCATGGTGGAAGAGTGCGACTAGCGGAACGATCGACATAATCCCTACGCCAAGCGCAGAGGGCCGGCAATTTGCATTCCGAGCGGTCACACTTTGTGCGAGAAAAACAGAGTTGAGCGGCGCATTCGTTTCTTGCATCTTTCTGCATGATCATGATCGAAACATCACGTGCACCCTATTTTCAACCATAAAGGGTTACTGCACTTCACTCTTCCGCGCTTATTAAAACCATATACCAACATATACCTTGTACCAAAACAGTTTCTCGCTACCACCGCTAGGGGATTCTTTTAGGCTTCTGGTTGGCCAAGAGACCATGCCAAGCCCTCTTTCTGCGTCTTGTGCACGCCCTGGCTTTCCCCGCGCCTCCCATTGACCATACTCTCTGTATACACGGCTCTGGGCTCACCGAGAAATGGTTCTTTGATGCCTCTGTGCTAACAGATCATCGCGCTCCAAATCTGCGACCGGGAACTCTATGGCTCCGTCGTCGAACTGCCAGGCTTTGTGAGTAGAGAGGACGCTATAGTTGGACTTATCGTCAACTAGATTTATTTGTACTTTATAGTTTAAACGATCTGTCCCGCGCCCGCTAGAACTGATAACAAGGTGCCAAGAAAGGCGTGTGATTACGTTTTTGCTGTGCATGCTAAGGGCGGCATTTTAATGACTGGAGAAGGAAACATTTAAAGACATAAACCCATGCGGGGGCTTAGCATTCAGACATTAATTCGCTGTAATGTTGTTCGATGTCGATGTGACAAGACTTATAGGCTTTTATCCGCTACACATTTGAGAACGTCAAGTCCTTGGAATGTTCGGCTTCTTCACTCCCCAGACAGCTCATGCCGAAAAAAAGGTAATTTTATGAGCAGGTTCACTCAACCATTAGCGCCTCGTACAGAGTGGTAGTTTCTTGAAACCATCAAAAATGGAAAGATAACTGTTCGGGAAAAAACACCCTAACTTTCGTACGTCTACTGTTGATGGATAGGTGCCAGATTTTATCCGCCATTAGCGTACAACAATCTGCACTGATATTTCAAGGCTGGTTCACACATCTGCGTCGGTTCCGTTCGCGTGCAACCGAAACGACCGTAACGACAAAGTCACTGGGACAAGTGTTCTCCGTACACAGCGTGGCGAGCGATGCAAGTGGTTGCTTCCCAAAGCGATTCATGAGTCAGGGTTGTTGCGGTGTTTTGGTCGCTATGGTTGTTTCGGTTGCATGAGAACGCAACCGTTGCAAATCTGTGAACCAGTCTTCAGCCACTAGATTGCACTGAAGCTCTGAAAGGTTCTATAACAGGTATTTACTGGACGCCATATTTGAGGGCGACGTTTAGGGCACACGATCAGAACGAGCTCACATTTATTGGCTGCTAAAAACGGCAGTCTTGATGGTGCGGATTGCACGTTGCCAAATAACTGTGGAAGCCCAGCATCAGCACGCGCTGAACAGTCGAGAACTTAGTGAATACTCCCTATATTTCGTTAGTGAATACTCCCTCTATTTCTGTATACAAAATAGTGAGTAGTTAGACATCCTGAAAACTAGTTATGTGAACAAATAAAATAGAAACATTATATTTCAGTAGTTTTAGAATTTTATGTCTGAGTCCCCTGTAGTAAAATCCCCAGTCTCTGGCAAATCTAACTTTCTCGCACCCTCGTATTGTTTTTATTATTTCGTGCTTTTCGTGTGAATCGGGAGAATTATACACGTTTGGCGAACACCTCTTCTGTGCCTTGCTTCAACCTTTTTGCAGTAATGTATGATATTATTTATACCAATTTTCGACCCGTGCTACGGGGAAAAATCATACCAGTAGTCATATATTATATGAATGTTTTATCGGTGCTGACTGGTGAATAGATCTCAAGTACCACTGACTAGGCTTCGTTTCTATGTTCTGTCGCGTGTTCTTAATCGTCAATGTTAATCCAAAAGTGTCCGTTAGTAACAATCGCAACAGGTTTCTTGGTTAACTAATTTCGCGGTTATAGACTACAAGCCGAATGTGTATACAACATTCCAGGAATATATCCACTCATTTTTGGTTCTTAACAGAAGCTGTTATTACGTAATTGTGGATCTTTCAATACATAGGAACAGTCATTGCCTTAGGAATCGTGATCCACTTTTTCGTATCAGGATTGTAACAGTTCTCGAGAAATCTGTTTTCCCAACAAGGAATTTAGAAAACTATTACCATTCTAGGATTACTCTATGCAATGCCTGGCGCTCGTCTTCCAAACTGATTTAATTTTTGTACGCCTTAATTGAAATCTATTATTTAATTATGTTTGAACTCGGACGCACAATTTAGAAAAAAGTTGCACATTTATTTGACTTTGATAACTCTGTTTGATAACAAAACTTTTTATAAACCGGTAAAAAAAAAACAAAAAAACAACAACAAGCAAACAAAACACGAGACGTGAGCAAAGTAACTGCGAACATCTAAATAATATTTTGTTTTGTGTCAATTCCCGTTTTCGAGTTGCAGTTTTTGAGTTGAAGATGTCGTACGGCCTTTACAAAACTTTACCATTTTTTCCTTCTCTAACAGAGCTCATACCGGTGACGATCATCAAGAACGAGACCGTGGGCATAAGTGGAATTCGCATAGACTGGCAGGCCGTGGAAAACACGGACATACCTCTCAGCGGCTACAGGGTGCGCTGGTGCACCCGAAGCCACTCAAAGTGCTCCAAAGAGCTTCTTGATCTAAGTGGCTCGTGCGGTACGAACTACCGAGAGATCGAGGAAACCCACCTGAGTGTTTCCAGGGTACCTCCCGAAAGTGTGCTCTTAGCTGGAATCACTGCTGTGTATAAATTCAAGAATGGAAGCGAAGCAAAGGCAGCGGAAACAACTCGTTGTTTTGAGTCTCTAGCAAAGCGTGAGTATGGAACTTCAATTTTTGTTTTTGTTTTGTTGTGTCGAGAGATTAGAAGTACTGTCGAGACCGGTTATAACGAAGTTGGTTATAACGAAATAGCGGCTACAGCAAAGCGATCACGATTTCCCATTCCCTTTTGCACTTCGTTATAACCGAAGTCAGTTATGACGAAATAGCGAATATAGCGAAGTAATTTCCGATTCCCGTCGACTTAGTAGTAACCGGTCTCGGCAGTATACGTTTTGTTTCGCACTAAATCGGACCGCAACCGACACCGCGATACGACGCGGCCGATCAAGCAGCTCCAAAGTTCAAGGATAGAACGAGTGTCGTTTCTTGTGCGTTCACAGTCACCAGCTAAACATACCACGTTCAGTAAATGCGCTGTGATCCTGCGCATTGCTTCGTTAGGGATTAGTTTAGCCAGTGACTGCAAACACGCAACGATGACAAGCGCCGTGGTGATGCCCTTTTTGCGGCGCTTGGTTGACTCCATTGAACCGTAGCGCTGGCTGCGGTTCGATTGAGTTTGAATCGGAGTATAGAAACTTTATGCGCAGTTCTTCAAAAGTCAGTATTTTCTAAAGGCATTTAAACTCTCCCAGAATAATGGGCTTTCTCGCAGCCTTTTCACATGTGCCTTAGTAAAGAACAAAAAAGCTGGAATCCACCCGGAGCGGAACGATGAAACTCACCTTTCATTTAATGAAAGGTGAGTTTCAACAGTAACACCTCCGCCCCAAGTCGATCCGCAACTACAACTCTCGCGCGCCCAGGAGGTATTCTTAAACAAAGTATTTGCAGACGCAGCCTTCATACCGAATCTCATCAGGAAATGGTACCCCCCAGCCGCGGACACACCACTTCGCTGCAGTCACTGCGGATTGGAGTGCAGAGCTAATCTCCTGCACCTTATCTGGGACTGCCCACGCTTCTCCAACGGCAGGACAGATATTCAGGATATACCCCTTGCCGATTATGACACATTACTTGCCCACCTCCGAACATCCCCCACAGCCAAAACACGCTAACCCAATATGGTAGTAAGAGTGGCCTTCCGAGAGAGGTGTGAGGTGACTCCCAGTACTTGACCGGCAGATTCTTATACCGGCAGGAAGATTGAGGAGCAGAACGACCGCAAAGATGCCTTCTGCACCCCTGAGAGATTGTCAAGCGTGCACAACTTCTCGCAGATACTTTCTATCCCCCTCCTCAAACCCTAATCCCAGACCACGGCTTTAGCCATCCTCTTCCCATGTGGTCGAATCAATAAATAAATTTAACGAAAAAAGTTGTTGAACGATAATATAAAATATATTTGTAATGCGAACTCTAAGGTCGATTTGTCTGTGTGCGTTGGGCACGAGCTACTCTAACTTCACAAACACCGTAAAAAAAAATATTTTGATTGTTCTGTTGGAGGATTGTACCACGTGATAGAGGCAGTACAAAGAGATTTGATACGTGCGCTTCACGAATTCAAATTATAATACAGCATCCGCTTATGCAGCCCGTGCCATTAAAATGGAGAATAAAAAATTCATCGCCCCGAAGAAAAATAAAGTGAGAAGAGGAAAAATCTATAGCCACTGAGAGCTTAAAAAAGGCGGGTGTGGCTCATTATGTTCACTTTGCTTACTTTCTGATTGGTTCATCAGCCTTCTTATCGACTCATGCCGCAATCTTATTGACTGTTTCTAAGAGCGGAGCCAATCTCATTAGCTGTACTTTCAGGAACAAGGCGCGTAATCCTTACACCCTCGTTTTATATACAACACACATAAACTACATGTCGACGCTTAGTCCACTCACGTCAAACTGACGATACCAACTTTTACGAGCGGCTTGATAGCCGGGGAATTTGACTTACTAATTCTCTCATGTACATATCAAAGACTACATTAAAAAAATCTAAGGGTTTGTAGCAGGGCACACAAAACCTTGAATGTTTTCCTGTAGTATTTAATGCGCACATTTGCTATTTTAACAAGTTCTATCGCTCGACTATCAAGACGCTCGTGAAAGGTGGTATCGTCGATTCGACGTGAGTGGACTGAACGTCGAATCCCAGCTTTTGTGGTGTTATATATATATATATATATACGTATATATATATAGATATATCAGGGTGTCGAACCGGAACCGAACCGAACCGAAAACCGGAACCAAACCGGTATTTTTTCCGGAACTGAACCCGAACCCGAACCGTTATATTGTTATCGCGATGAACCCGAACCGGAACTGAACCGGAGAAAAAATAACGGTTACCGGCTCATGTCAAAACGGTTCGGCCACGCGCTGTTGACAATGAATGTGCTATCAATGCCATTTGTTTTTTAAGTGCCGTCAACTGACACACACCTCGCTTACATATTTTTCTTCTCCACTCAGTTTTAGGAATATAAACGCTGCATCCATGAATCTTGACATAGGAACCAGTATTGCGCTGGTCGCGGCTTGCACGGAAGAAAAAGAATTGAAAGGCTGTGCAAAAAAAAAAAAAAAAAAAAAATCGCGTCACGGGATTTTATTTTCCTAAAATCTCGTAAATCCTAAATGCTGCTGTGTGCTCATTTCATAACACGTTTGTAGAACGCGCGAGTTCTTAAAGCTTGCTTCCATCGGAATGAGAAAAAAAAAGGCTGTGGAGTTTGATAATAATGCATCCGGTTTCGTATACGCACTTAGAAGCTAACATATTTGTGAGACAGCGAACTCTTCTATTTTAATATTTATCCCATTACGTCCTTCTGGCGTTGCGTTCGGTGAAGTGTTTTTGATATTCCGTATCTTGTTTAATGAAAACTTCTTTAAGGGTCTAATTTGAGTTACCGAAGGCTAGTTCAAATAAAGAAAGCTGTATTTCCTCTCCACTGTTCCTTCAATTGCTTACACGCCGAGGTGGCGGGATAGTTAGCGAGTCCTACTTGTAAGTGGGTTTGTAAGGAGGTCACGGATTTTACAGGTACTGCGTCGGACCCAATTAGATGAAGTCCGAATGCGTAAACGTCGGTGAGGTAACCTTTGAGTGCACATAAAGAAACCATTCCTGGTAGAAATCCCTGAGCCTTACACTACGATGTATCCCGTTTCGTATGTGCTGATTTCAGATGTTTTATTTGTAATTTATTTTGATGTTGCAATTTGTCATTTATAATTTCCGAACCGGTTCGCGAACCGGTTCAGCGCCCCGAACCGGTTCGCGAACCGGTTCACGGATCGAATTAATCGAACCGGAACTGAACCGGAACAAAATAAATTTACCTGAACCTGAACCGTAACCGAACCCGTATTTTTTTCGGTTCGACACACTGATATATATATATATATATATATATATATATATATATGTATCTGTGTGTGTGTGTGTGTGTGTGTGTGTGTGTGTGTGGCGAGGGGTGGGAGCTTTACACCCCCTATTTCTGAGTGTGTGCGTTCATTAAGTTGTCGGTGAGTATAGGAAAGGATAGATTGTTATCGAAAACAATACCATTCTTTTCAAGTAGCTTACAAGCTTCTTTGGCCAACGACAATCGACTGAGACTGGTAATACACACGTTGCGACTCGACGTAGACCTGTTGCTTCGTATCCATTTTGTTCAGCCGACTCAGATGGAAGGATCCGGCAGAAATATCAGGGAGTTTGAATGTTTCATCGATTTTTTTCTTATAGAGCTAAGACACTCAAGCTCCTTGTTGTGTCATCATAGTATCAGGGAGGCATGTGCATCGAGTTAGAGTTTAAACAAACAAACAAATGACTAGTTCGCTTCTAAACGATGGCTAATTAGTTAGCTGAGGGCTGCTGCATCAGTCTCTCCTGGACAGTTTTCATGCATCGCGATCAGTTGTTCGTAGGTTTGCATTTCACGTTCAAATAATATTTCCGAGTTTTTATGCATTTTTATATATGCCTCATTTGTTAATTTATTTAGGCATTGCACTGGTTCATCTACACTGGATTGATAGCAGTAGTTAAATTGGGTCTGATCACAGGTGAAAAAAAAAAACTTATTTTACACGCAAAAAAAAAAAACATATTGAGTGATGTTTCGGTAACATGGACACCTCCGTTCCTCCAAAATATTGCCAACAATGTGAGTTGTCCTTACTGACGATACAAAACGGCATGTATCTACCTAGTCTTTTCCCGAAAAGGATGTCCATATAACGGAATATCCATATTAATGGGGTCCATATTAACGAGACATGACTGGTAATGTCTCGTTAATATGGACCCTTCCGTTCCCTTAAAATCGTCCCTAATGCGGCTTGTCCATAATAATAAGACAAAAATGCACGTATTTTCGCTGTTTGTTCCTGAAAATGGTGTCCATATAGCATGTATCCATATTAACAGGGCCCACATTAACGACACACGAATACATGTTGTTTCTCAAAACGTAATGCAAATCGTTCCTGCAAGAAGTAATCACCTCGCAAAAGCAAATTTAATGCCGTATTTGTCTCTGCTAAAATTATCATATAGAAAAATTAATAACATTCGGTATAATTAGTTCATCAATTGCTTTCCAATAATAAACATTTTATTTAGGAAATTTAGAGGTATTGTTTCGATTAAAACACTTGCCGAGGATCATCGAAAACCACTGAATCACTTTGTTTTAGAAATATAGAAGTCGCGCGCAGCGTTTTACCGCGTTAAGAAAATATATAAGTTTGGACGGGTTTCTAGGTTTCGGTTTCCTATAGGAGCGCATCTTTGCGCCAGCGTTCCTGCCCCCTGCCCCCGCCCCCCCCCCCCCCCCCCCCCCCCCCCCCGTGGCCGAGGCGCGCAGCTTCACTCTCGCCTCCAAAGAAGGGGGCAAGGAAGTGTAGCACACATGCGTTGCGCGCCTTGGCCACGAGGGGCTGAACCGCTGTCGCAAAGGTGCGCTTCGATAAGAAAACAAAACCTAGTAATGACGAGTCAAAACTGAGCTTTTCTTTGAACAGGGTAAAATACTGTAGTCGCCTTTTTTTTCCTTTCCAAGAAGGGTTGGTTTAGTGATTTTCGGTGATGTCAGGAAAGTTTTAGAGTGCAGCTCTCAGGCGCCCGTTTCCGGCGTCGGCGTAACTGCGCAGTGCATGATGGGAAATGTCCCATAATGCACCGCGCGGGACCCTCGAGACGTCACTCGTTATGTAACACGTGACGTCACGAGGGTCCCGCGTGGTGCATTATGGTACATTTCTTATGATATACCGCGCGGGGAGGGGGAGGAGAGGAGGAGGGGGAGGAGGAGGAGGAAAGGGGAGAAGGGGAGAGGGGAGAAGGAGGGCTGAAGTGGAGGAGAGGAGGGATGGGGAGGTAGGAGGGGAGGAGCTTGAAGGATGAGGGAAGGAGAATGTGAAGGAGGGGGAGGAGGAGGACGAAGAGGAGGAAGAGGAGGAAGGAGGGGAGGAATAGCAGCAGGGAGGATGAGGAGGTGAGAAGAAGGGAGGAGGGGTATACCCCTCTCTTCTCCTTCTCAAGAGCTGCGCTCTAATTCGGTGTTACAGGGTATTGTAAACGCCTTTGGTTTTTGTTGAAACCATACCTATAAATTTCATAATAAGAACGTTAATAACTTAGAAGTAAATAAAAAGGTACCTATTCCCAAAGTTAATATTTTTTTCCGAATTGGCAAGGACTAATACCACATTACATTTTTGCAGTGCGATGCGTACTTTTCACAGAAACGATTTGGCTCACATTTTAAGAAACACCCTGTATATGCATAGGTCATGTAACTAAGAAAAAACTTACAAACGATTTTATTTTTCGACCTTTGGAGATGCATAACACAATTGAGCGTTTGATTAGGCTCGCGTACTGATCACAAAAAGCTAGTAATTGTTATGTCTTGCAGTAAACATAGGAAAATATCCTACGACAAAGAATACTTCATAGAATATTAGGTGCAATGTATTGTTAAAGTCATGGAATAAGAAGCGAATATTCTACGTTGCTCTCACAGCGAAGCTCTTCAATGTCGTTCAAATGATTGCAGGTCCGATGTCCGTGACTAACTTAAGACTCGAGAGCCAACAGGACGGGCAGCTGGTGTCCTGGAACTATTCAGCGGACAAAGATATCAGCGTGACTCCCAAATACGACATTCGCTGGTGCTCCAAAGACATTTCTGATTGTGCTCATGAGAAGCTGGATCTCCAAGAGTGCGACAGCGAGAGCGCAGAAAACGGCACTAACGACATGAACGTCCTAATCTCGAATCTGAAGCCCTGGAGCACGGTGGTCGTCGAGGTTTCCGCAGTTTACCAGGACGAAGCGAGAAGTGACATCGTGAAAGGACCCGCGGCCATCAAATGTTTCGAAATTCCGGTTGCAGGTATGTCTGCATACACACGGCGGGCACATAACTAATTGATGGCGTGGTATGCAAATCACATTTACTGATAAGGAAGGCGCGATTTTTTGCTGATGTTTTACGAACTGACATAGCTTTCGACTTCATTCGGAATTTCCAATAAGTATGTTCAAGGGGTAAGAGAAGAATGTTACCCATTTTCGGTGGTATGCTTTCTCGGCGGTTGGTGGTATTTACCGCCAATAGGTGGTATTTATTTGGCGCCATATCTGGGAGTGGTTCTCACAGCGGATGCTTAGAACGAAGCTCCCCCTTTTCTAAGAACTTCAATTTCGACGGTGTGCACTCTAAAAAAAAAAGCGTATCACCTTACACCCTTTTGTCCCATATAATACACCAATAAACTTCATTTCAATGTACAGCGCCCTATAGTCGAACAGACGGTACAAACTTTTACCAGGGGCTTGATAACGGTGCGATATAACCTGTTGAATTGCTAAAGTACGCATCAAACACCAAAGAAAGAAAACACGGAGCTTTTGCAGTACGGCCAAGAAAACTCCAATAATCTTTTTTGTAGTCAATAATACGTACATCAGCTATCTTAATAAGTTGAACCACACGGCTACTAAGCCCCTCGTAAGCTTTGGGGCCGCCTGTTCCATTATGGGGCGCTGTACGTCAAATTGAAGTTTTGGGGTGTATTATATGGGACAAGGGGTGTAATAATACATCTTTTTTTCTGAGAGTGTGTAATGCACGTTGTGGTTGTGTTGTGGATGCTCATCGTAAGCATCCAGCTTAGCAGCAACGGACTAAACTATGGCCTCCAGGGAATACCATCCAGAACAGTGTGAAACCAGGGTAGCCCGAAGTTTTGAATTTGAAAATGCTGAAGTTTTGTATCTCTCTTAATTGCTGCTAAAATAGAGGCGTCATGGAAGACAACGTTATTAAGCAGGCGATCTGGCTGTTAATGGGCATACCAAAGCTCGAGACGAAGGCAAATGAAAAGGTGGGACAAATACAACATCTCATATTGAGACGTTGTGTTTGCCCCGCTTTTTTACCCTGTCTCGGGTTTTAGTATGCGCCTGGCGCCATCGCGGCCTTAATGTTTCATGAAAATTAACCTACGAGGCAGAACCGAAAGTAACCGCAATCAGTTATAAAAAATTGCGCAACGACCCAGCTGACCGATGGGAAATGCCACGTGAACGGAACTCCTTCTTGGAAGCGTGTACCGGGTAAGAGCAGCGCGTATGAACACAGTTTTTAGCTGCAGAGGGCAAAACGCTCGTGCATATTTATCTCAGCATGTTGACGCAGTGTGAGGGCGTCTGTATATCACTTCGACTAGAGGTAGTGTCTATAAGTTGCCGTAAGGAGCAAAGTTGCGCGTTCATCGAACTAGAACAAAGTTATGCATGAGAGCCACTCTTTACTCATGCAGGAGCCGTGTTCCGACAAATGAGGATATTGGTTTGCGTTCAATCTTTCCGTTCTGGTTTCGGCGACCGCATCACACTTGAGTGTAAACTTGCAGGAAATACTTCGTCGAGGTATTTAGACAATGCGCCAGGCAACACAGATACCCAAAGAAACTTTCAAGTAAACTATTTCCCGGCAAATTCAGTTTCCTGAACCCGTGCATTAATTCGAGCTCTGCCGGGGCAAAATAATTATGGAAAGGTTTTTATTACAGTAGGCACAGTAATTCCGCCTGCAGACATCACGTGTCGAAATTGTGACTTTGAGGCAGGTGTCGACAGCGAATGCTAGCAAATTTGCAGTTTAACATTTACAACGAACTGCTAATCGGATATACACTAAGTAAGCATGCTCATGCGTCATATACCTAAAAAGGATAAATGCCAGAAATCCAGCACTTAAAAAATTGATTGCCTAGTTTATTTTTTTGAGGAATCGACGAAATTATGAACACTTCGATTCAAGCTTTCTCACCTGCCCAAAGAAAAAAAAATGTATATAATAACCTTGCTCGGATACCATTGTTCTGTGATTTATTTGCACATAAAGTAAAAAGGAAAACCAGTTTGCGCTCTTTCTTTATGTGGACATTGTTTTTCCTTTGTTTGTGTTTATACGTTAACTATATCAAGTGCTGGAGGCAGAAGTGTTTTGGGGTCTTTGTTTCATATATTTTTGCATCCATACGACGACGGGCTCCGGAGAAATGGACAATATGTGGCCTCATGCAAAAGCAGAAAACATGCGAACAAAAAACACCAAAAACACACTTGGCTAGTGGCTAGTTAGGGGCTAGCGGCTAACGGAACTGTTGAGCGGCCGTAGCGGAGGCTTTTCTGTGCAGACCTGGAGTTTGGTTTCCGAACTCGGTAAATAGACGAACGGCGCGGCGCGGCACGTTGAAAACAGACGCGCAAATATTTCTCTCTTGCAAGGAGTCTATCTAGAAACTCTAACTTCGACAGATGCATGAGTTGTACAAAAATATTAAAACTGGAAAATGACATAGCGCGCCTCCACACGGCAGGTGCGGATGCGGAAAGAATCAGAGATACAGGTTTTGAGTGAGTTCCGCGTACACCCATATATACTCACCACACCTGGAACCGAGATATGTTAATGTTTTAGGACCCTTCAGAGCAGTAGTCGGCATAACGAAGTTTCATAAAGATTATGAGTTGAACATTGCGATAGATTTCTGGCCCCGGAATCAGTAGATTATTTTATTCAGCAACATCCTCGCGTAGGTCAATCGTTGGCACACAGGTCTTGAACACGTGGGAGAAACTATGTGGAAAAGTTGGCTCTCACCAGATAAGATCATGCACGAGAGTCCGGACGTAGTTTTTTTTAAATTTTTTATATGTTACTTCTCAACATTTATGGGAAACGTAATCAAAAATATTTTGAAAAAAGCATAATATTTAAAGAGAATTTTGAGCGCGCCAGATATTTGATACTTGAAGTTTCCGTTTATGTCATGTTTGGTGACACCCACCGCCAAACTACATATATAAGAAACCTAAAATATTTTGCACTTATAATAGATCTAAAGATCTATTGATTTAAGTATGTACAGCATTCTGGAAAATATATACGTTGCGTCAAAAATTCGCAAACCTAGCTCCTTTGATGTTCGTTTTGTCACTAAATTTTTGAGCTTTTATCCTAACAAATTTAATAGCTACAGCATTAAACTTTATTCAATATTTTCTTATTAAAACGTTCTTTAGCGTAATACAGAAATCGTTGCTTTTTCTTTAAAGAATTAAATTTTTATGTTGCTCCAAACTTCTTCTGAAGTAGAGTGTTAAGAAACACCAAGGGGCGATTAAAAAAAAGCATCTTCGATTTTTAAAATTTATAGTGATGTTTCTACACCACACTCTTGTGTTTATTCATCAAAACATGTTGCATTGTTTTGTTTCCTTCAAAGTTACAGTGCTGTTAAATGTACCTTCCACGTCGGCCTTTTTGCCCAATGCCAAAGACGGGATTATCTTTTGATTCCGTTAATTTTATAGCGATATGAATTTTCCGCCGTATTCGGGTATTGGGCTCAAGTTCAAGCATGCCACTAATGAAAACAATACCCGCGTGGCTCGTCCTTTCCATTCATTTAACCAAATATTGCTGTTATTTTCTTTGAAGTTACAAGGTCTAGGAGCCTTAGCCGAATCCTTTCCACTTGTAATGGCTAATACTACCTTTTTTACATAAGGTAGCAGAAAAGTAAGAACGGCGGTAGAAAAAAATTATAGCAAATATTTATGTCTATATTCCCGATTAAGTGTACTTGTTTGGGCCACCAAGCTGGTTTCTGCTATTCCTGACGGTTGTAGGTCCTGCTGGCCAAGATAAATATGGGACTTCACTGGCATACTTTCACTAAAACGTCTGCTCAGATAAACAAAAAAATATATAAAATTGTGATCATTTCTTCGATTATAATTATAAAATTATAAAAGTGAATGGATGGATAGAAATAACTTTATTTATAGAGGTGGAGGCGGTTATGCCCACGCTCCTTCGGCAGTTAGCCACACCTGGTGGCCGGGAGGCCATAAGCCTCGGCGAACTCGGCAGCCCGACGGACCACCTGTAATTGGGTAGTCGGGCCTGAGCTGCGTAGCGCAGCGTCCCACCACTCCTCCGAGGGGAAGGGAGAGGGAGGGAAAGAAGGGCACGCCCATAATATATGGGACAGGGTAGCTCTGGCGCTGCAGAAAATGCAGGTGGGATTGTAGACGGATGGGTGGATGTGGGAGAGGACGAGAGAGCTGGGGAAGGGAGTGTGTCTGCAGCTGGCGCCGCATAACACTCTTCCCGGGAGAGGGCTCGGGTCGCACGAGGGTAAAGGCGGCGGGAGAGACGGTAATGAGAGGTAATGGTCCTAGAAGGCGACTACACGGTGGCGCGCTGAACGAGCCCCGTGGTCTCGAGGCTGGGTCCGGCCCGCCCGGACGGTGTATCCTCGGGCTGTGGAATGAACCAACTCGTTTCCGCAGAGTCCCGCGTAGAGCACTGCACGGGCCCGGGCCAGCCCGAAAGCCCGAGCCCGGCCCGGCCCGGCCCGCGGGCCGGGCTCGGGCCGGGTAGCACGTATTTTCTCGGGCCCGGGCCGGGCTCGGGCTTGAACAAAAAAGTTCTCGGGCCGCGCCGGCCCGGGCCGGCCCGGGCCGTGCCTGGGCAATCTTTTGCCGTAAATCATAAATTGTTGTTGATAGCAAGAATTTTGCTCATTAATCTTTTAGGTTCATTGAATACAAAAAAAAGCGAAGTGCAAATTCACTACAGCGTCGTTAAAAATAATAACTAAAAAACGTCTTGAAGCTAGAAAGCCTTCAAGCTTTTTCCCTGTGAGCGAGGGTTCAGTGTTATAAATTGTAAACAAAATGAAGTCCCAGTCATATGCTTGTCAACCTGTCTGATTCATCGCTCTCAAATATATCTAGTTCACTATTAGGAAGATTTAGAAAAACGTACGCAAGCGCTTTGGGTACCGTAAAAATAGCGTTGCGATGTAAAAC